CACTGAAAAGAAAAAAACAAACAACCCCATTATAAAATGGGCAAAAGATATGAACAGACACTTCTCAAAGGAAGACATCTGAGCAGCCAACAGACACATGAAGAAATGTTCAACCTCACTAATCATCAGGGAGATGCAAATCAAAACCACACTGAGATACCACCTAACTCCAGTCAGAATGGCTCCAGCGATCCTTCCGCTCAGACTTCCAAGTAGCTGGAACTACAGGCGCGTGCTACCACACCTGGCTAATTTTTTTTTTAAATATATTGTAGAGATGAGATCTCGCCAAGTTGCCCAGGTAGGTCTCGAACCCATGGGCTCAGGCAATCCACTCACCTTGGCCTCCCAAAGCGCGGGATTACAGGCTGAGCCACCAAGCCCGGCTCCTCCCCACCAGATTTAAACTCCTCCTTATCTTTATCTTCACACCCCCATAGCCAGCCCAGTGTCCCCTGCAGAGCACAGGCACAGGAGTGAACTAAGGCCAGGTGCGGTGGCTCACGCCTATAATCCCAGCACTTTGGGAACCCAAGTTGAGAAGATTGCCTTATCCCAGAGGTTTGAGACTAGCCTGGGCAACTTGGTGAGACCTCATCTCCACAATAAATCAAAAAATTAGCCGGGTGTGGTGGAGCATGCCTGTAGTCCCAGCTATTTGGAAGGCTGAGGCAGAAGGATTGCCTGAACCCAGCAGGTCGAGGCTGCGGGTGGCCATGAGTGTGTCACTGTACTCCAGTCTGGGTGACGGAGTGAGATTCCAAACTCAAAAAAAAAAAAAAAAAAAAAAAAAAAAAGAAGTGAACTAAACTCAGTGAAAGGTTTGGGATCAGTTGTGCCATCACTTATAGTTCCTTCCCAGGATTGTCTCTGACCACAGTCAGAGTCTCTCTGGAACTCTGCACAGGGGGAAATGCCGCCACCATAGGGGCCAGAATTCCAGGCTCCCAGAGAGAGAGGCATCACTTCTCATTTGCTAACCCACCTCCCACCCCACAAAGCCCTGCTCCTGTGATGCACATTCACACCCCAGATCCACTTCAGTGATCACCACAGTCATATGAGGAAGCCATGATTAGCCTCTCTTTGCAGGTGAAGGAACTGAGGCCAGGGGTAGTTCAGTGTTATTCCTGAAGGACAGCTTGATGGGTAAGGCCCTGAATTTTATTGACTATGTGTGGGTCCCTTTTCTGAAGGCGTACAAACCTTCACACACACGACATCCCTCTGAGGTATGCAGTATCATCATTCCCATTTGACAGATGAAGAAAATGAGATTCAGAGCATTTAGGTAACTTGTCCAAGGCCAAGGCTGGGAGTCGGTTTTGAGTCAGGGCTGTCTGGGTTCATCCTCTCAACCACTCTGCTAGCCTTCCTCTGGATGTTCTTGGGAAGCCTTGGCTTCAGCATGTGGAAATAGGAGGAGAACTCCCTTCTCACAGGGTGCGTGAGGATTAGATCTAATGTGTGTGCGTGTCTGAAGCACAGTTGTTACCCAGGAAGAAGAGGTCATCATTTTTTTTTTTTTTTTTTTTTTTTGAATTGGAGTCTCACTCTGTTGCCCAGACTGGAGTGCAGTGACACGCTCATGGCCTGCTGGGTTTAGGAGACCCTTCCACCTCAGCCTTCCAAGTAGTTGGAATTACAAGCACGCACCACCATGCCAGCCTATTTTTTTTTTAATTTATTGTAGAGAGGAGGTCTCGCCAAGTTGCCCAGGCTGGTCTCGAACCCTTGGGCTCAGGCAATCCTCTCTCTTCCGCCTCCCAAAGTGTTGGGATTACAGGCTGAGCCTCCCCCTTCCAGTTTGAGGTCATCATCTCTGTTCCCCTGCAGAGACAATTGCAGCATCTGGCCGCCAGGGGGCAGTCACACACTGGCGACTTAAGCCCTTCCCAGGCGCCTGGTTGATCATTCAACCGTTGGTGACGAATTCTGCTGAGCCCTTTTCCCCCTGTGCCCAGTCCCGGAATCAAGGGCTTATGTCACCAGCGTGGAATCTCAAGGAGTGACTCTTGCAAAAGAAATAAGGTTTAGGCCTTACACCCACCCAAGTTCCTTCTATCAGCACCAGTTCTGGGACTGCGGGTTGGGGTAGACACATGTGGAGGGGCGCCCAGCTGGGGCCCATTTAGGGTGGTGGTGGTGCGGGCGGCAATTATCAGCAATCCCCCTCCTGGTGGAGGCTGGATTCCTGGAGCCACAGCTGCAGCGTGAGGGGTGGCAGGGAGGGCTTTGGAATTGTCTCTCTCCGGGTTTCCGTGGTTACAGATGGATGCAGGCAGCCCGCTAGGCTGGGTCCTTTATCTGCATTGTCTCCTGGGGAGACAATGGGCCTTGGGGGGGTGGGCGCACTCCGTGCAGATCATTGCTACAGCAGAGGCCTTGCCTGCCCTGCTCTGTGAACCCCTGGACCCCAGCTACTAGGGCTAAGGGAGTTGGGTGTGAGAGTCCACCTTGGTCAGCACTCCTCGCTTTAGGGCACAACACTAATGTTCCAGAGACTCCAAGAGGCTGTCTGTCCATCGGGCCACTTGAGCACACCCAGGACTCCAGAAGAGCAAAGCTGCAGAGGACTCCGGGTATTAAAAGCACACAATCTGGCGTCAGATCGCCACGATCAAATCATGAT